TCATCTCCTTTTCCCCTCACTCTTATCTCCTCTCGGCCCCGGCGTGAGCATGTGTGCAGCTTCAGCCTCAACTCAGGGAAGGAACACTTTGTCACTGTCCCCCCCCCCCCAGCCGTTCCACTGCTGCCTCCCCCTCCTCACCCCCCCCCCGCCCCCTCCCTCCATGTCCTCCCCCTGCACTTCCCTCGCCCTGTCCTTGCACCTCCTCTTCCTCCCAAGCCAGGTCTGTGAAGAGAAACAATCGACACCTTAAAAGAGTTTTGTTTCTGAGAATAAATTAATTTTTTGTAAATAAAATGTTAAAAAACAAAAAGAACAGTAAAGTTTCCAGTAGATGTAGTGGGTGAGGATGGGGAGATGCCTTGAGGAGAAGAGGATCCTGGGTATCGCCTGGGCCCAGACACGGTGCAGGGGTTCCTGGGAGCCCCGAGGAGGACCTGCAGGGCCCGAGCGGGAAACCTGACACGGCTCCTTCGTTTAAGAATGGACCCTCCACTGATGAGGAAGTGGAGCCCTGAAGACGGGAAGTTGTCACCGTGGCCACAGTCAGAAAAGGAGACCAGGGCAGGATGAGCTCCAGTGCCGGGGTCCAGCCCCAGCGGGCCAGGGGCGCCCAAAGGTGTGGACGGAGGCGGCGAAGAATGTTTTACACGGAGACAGCGTTCAGAACTCTCTAGCTCTCTTTAGTCTCCGTGGATCTTCCTGTGCCTGGCTGAGGCCACAGAGAAAGATCCCGAGGCAAGCTGAGCCTTTATTTCATAGTCAGAGGTAAACAAGGTAGTGGTTTCCATAGTTACACTGTTCTTGTGAGTTTCACTTGTTTTTGTTCTTGTTCTTGCTGCACTTCCCTCAGCCCATTAGCTTCCCAGGTAAGATCTAGGGAGCGTCATAAGGTCAAGCCTAATTATGCTAAGAGGACTGTGCCCTCTAAGCTGGGACTTGTTTGTGACTTTGCCAACAGGTCAGTCCGAGGCTTAATCCTCTATCGGCTCCCCACACTCCAGCAAAAGGAAGAGGCCTGTCTGCTCCCCAGCGGCGCGTCTCCCCACAGGAAGCGAGGTGGAGACTTGAGGCAGCCCCTGCACCTTCCCACGTGCCAGGAAGGGGCGGCCTCAGGAAGGAGGCCACCGTCCGTTCCCAGGAGAGGGGAAGTGAAGCCTCTTCAAAGAGGCATTTCTCTCCACCCAGGAAGCGGCCGCCAGCACCCCCGGAGGGCGATGCATGGGGCGATAGCTGTGGAGTCCCACCAGATCCACCAGATCCGGGAGGAAGGCCATGGGGCCTGGGAAGGCCCAGCCAACAGGGAGCTGAGGCTGGTTCCCAGGAAATATTCCCATGACATGGCGCACTAACCCTGTCTGCTAGACAAGCTGGGTCTCCCGCTGCCAGGCAGCCAGGCAGCAAGGCCAGGCCTCTGGCAGGAAGTCCCGCCTCCTCATCCAGGGTACTTGCCCCTGAGCAGAGCCAAGTCCCTCACAGCTTGGTCTGTCCAGTGGCCATATTCCCGGGCCACGACATAGCCTCGACATTGCCTCTCGAAGGCTGAGGCCCCAAAGGTGACAAGCCCGACAGTGTCCTCTTGGGGCGGGGGGGG